GGATTTGCAGGGCAGCCAGCTCCGACGCAGACAGGCAGGCGCCAGCGACGCTGCGCACACGGGGCTGCGCTTCGCTCTCTTGCCGGATGGAAGCTCGTCCTTCTGCCGCACAGCCCCAGGGTCACACCTGGGGGATGGCTGGAGGACGGAAGCTTCAAAGCAGAAAGAGCAGATGCCAGCTCCTGCGGAGCTCAGAGCAAGGGCGCAGCGAGCTGCACGTCACGGGCAGAGAGCCACAAAAGCCCCTCGCTTGTTAAGAGCCCCCAGCTGCTCAGAGGGAGGGCCGGGTCCTGCGCCCACAGCCATCTGCTGCGGCCACCTCCCCGCACGCTCGGTGCTGCTGAGCTCTGGCCCTGGTCGCAGGAGTGGAGCTCAGCAAGACCGGCTCAGATCGGGGGTTACAGAGTGGTACAAACCCAAGAGCACGTGGACCGGTAGCTGCTAGAGACAACAGCCACCTCGAAGAGCAATTATTACAGGCTCTCAACAGCAGGCAAGAGGGCAAAGAAAAAGCCTTATGACCAACTGCAGGGGAAATTATTGTCGGCAGGGGACCTTCCAGGCTCCACACGAGCAAGAAGTACGAATGAAGGCATCCCTGGACAGATCTGCTTCTGCTCGGAGTCCTCCCATCCAGCTCCCAGAGCCAGCTGCGGAGTCCTCTGCGGGACAGGGAGGAGTGGCAGACCCAGAGCAGGAGGAGTGACAGACCCAGAGCAGGGAGAAGTGACAGACCCAGAGCAGGGAGAAGTGACAGACCCAGAGCAGGGAGGAGTGACAGACCCAGAGCAGGGAGGAGTGACAGACCCAGGGCAGGCTCCTGGTGCTCTGCCAGACACAGCCCACCTCTCCCTGCTGCCCCGAGGGCTGCCCAGCTGCCTGTGCTGGGGTCGGGGACGCGTGTGAACTCTGCCTGCTCCAACGCTTTGCAGCTCATATGGCGAGGAGAAAGCCGAAACGGCGAGGAGAAAGCCGAAACGGCGAGGAGAAACGTGCTCGTGTGTGCGGACACTTCCCCAGGCACCGTCTCACCTCTACGAACCATTGGGCAACGCCATGGGCCACTGGTTGTGGTGTCAAAAAAAAGGGAATCAAAGGAGAAAGGGCAAAAGCCATAGGGAGTTTGCTAGCTGTCAGAAGAGAAGGAGTCAGGAGCACCAACGTTAGCCCCAATTTAGGTATCGTTTTGCTGGGTTATTTGGCTAAAACTGGCAGCAAAGCAGGAAATGACCCTGAGCAGCTGCCCCTACCGGTGTGGGACTCAAGCAGGACATTTGTTAGGTGCCCCAGGATGCTCCAAGCACGGACGTGAAAGCTCAGCACTCAGCTGGGAAGATCCAGACAGAGCTAAGAAATGCTTCTGGTGAACGTCGAGCTGCAGGAAGAGGCAGGGCTGAGCCCTGGAAATGTGAACCGTGAGCCTTCCTCAGGCGTAGGGCTGAGACTCCTCTGCCTCCGCAAGCCCCACAGGCTAACTCTGGTACCCAGGGAGGGGAACTGCGTCGCTGCGGCCCTTCAGCTGGTCTCAGCAGAGACCAGCAATGACAGGAGACAAGTTCTGGAGATGGAGAAGAAGCCAGAGATCACAGAGCTTAAGGAGCATTTAATCAAATGATGTGCCATGAGTTTCCCCGAGCATAATCTGAGATCTTTAAAGTGACATTAACATGGCCCCTGAGAGAAGAACAGGCACTGGGGGGGGAGGGAGAACACTTTAAAGCTCCATTTCCAAAGACTCACTAGAATTGCTGCAGACAGATAATGATGTGACAGCCCCTAGAGAAGTGAATAATTTATATCAATAAAAATTATAAATATAACACTCTCTCCATCATGTCTGTTTTGACCCAGACTGTGCAGAGGAGCTCCACAGCTGAGTGTCTGCCGCACCAAGCGTGCAAGGCTACCGGGAGAAATTAACTCCCATTTAGAAAGTGTCAGTTGCTGCATCTTCTGGACTTCTTGCTTCATCAGGCTCTTTTCTGGTGAGTCTGAAGGACTTGGAGACTTTATATCTTTGGGCTCCAACTTCATCTCAGCTTAATTAAAAGAAGCAACAACTACAATTATGGAAGCGTTAAATCCAGAACAAGCAACAGAATTTAATGACCCTTGTCGTGGCCCAGCTGCATTCTCACAATCTGTCGTTACAGCAGCCTGAAGTCTCCGTTTTTCAGGATGGTTTAAAGCCCAAACACCTACAAGGCCTCTGCAGCGTTTAAAAAAAATGGCAAAAGCTGCCAAGCACTAGAGCTGACCATGGGAGACTGGTCCAGGGCCTGCCCCTGTTCCTAAGCTCCCTGCAGCCAGCAGAAAACTGCTCTTGGAGGCATCTCCTTCCAGGTAGTGACGAGAGGGGCTCTGGCAGCAGCCACGCGGGCCCCGACGCTGGTGGAGGTGGGATCACACGGTGCAATCATAGCTCTCTCTGCATGCTCTCACCTAAGACAGCAGCTGGAAGGAGCCCCACGCCCAGCGTTCTGGGGCTGTAATAGAGCCCGTTGGCTCCAGCACGGTCCTGAGACCTGGGCCAGATGGGGTGTGAAGAGTGAAAAACAGCTCCTGTGCGGGATTTTTGCTCCAGCTCTCCCCG